TGTTTATCCTACATGAGTGTCTTCAGGGCGTGAGGCTGCGGGCAGAGTGCTGGGCTGCGTGGGAGACCTGGGGGCTCTGCTCTCAGGCAGCTCACCCTCTGGTTGGGACACAGACACTTAAGTAATCACATGGCGAATGGTGACTGTCCCGCTCACTGCAGGGGAGGCTAAGGCCAGGAGGCCAAGTGCATCTCTGTAGGACTGAGCCCCAGCTACACTCGGTCTTCCCGGCTCACTTCCCCAGGATACCGCCGGTTATGGTGGCAAGTGCTGCTGCCCACGGGTGGAAGTTTGAACGCTGGAGTGGGACGCGAAGGCAGGCGTCACAGAGACCATGTCACAGATCATTCCTGCCCATCACACCAGGTCCAGTGTCTGCCCTGCCGCCTGCCTTCCCTGACACAGTTCTCAGCCCACCTGGGGACAAGGCCCTTTGGACTTGTTGGGAGCTGCTCCAAGCCACGTGACATGTGGCATGGCGGAGAGGCACATGGGGCTTACCGTTGTGATGGGGCAGGAACCTCCTCTTCAGGAACTGAGAGAGAGAAGCCCGCAGCTGCTCCTCCTGCAGCAGAGCAAGGGGGACAGGAAGGTCACCTCCAGGAACGTCCCCCCGGCTGGGCTGGGACGAAGGACCCAGTGCACAGATGCCCATGGGGACAACATGGAGATAGCACTTTTGAAGGACCTTGGGGCTAGCTGGCCAGACTGGTGAAGGGACTGGGGGACACGAAGGGCCTCAGAAAGAGACACTCTCCCCCTGTGGACTCTCTTGGTCTGTGGAGCCCAGGGCCAAAGCCTCACAGGTGCCACTGGGGACAACGAGGGAGCTCTCTAAGGCTGAGAGGTGCCAGTAATGTCACACGTGGAGCTGCCACCTCCTGTCACTGGGGACGTGCTGAGGGGGCCATGACCAGGATGGTCCCAACCCAGCGGACAGGTTGGGGAGGCCCCTCCTCCTCATCTCCCTCCTCCTATCCCCCGGGAGGTGGTCACAGGAGGTAGGTGGTGTCTGTGACGCGGGTGGCACGGACAGCGCGTGGCTTGCCTGACCAGATGCATGGCAGCCTGGCCTGAGGACTGCCCCTGGGGTGTCACAGAAGTCCCTGACCCGGGCACATGACCCTCAGGACCTCCAGCCCTGGGACTCTATGAGGTAGAGATGGAGGGAGGAAGGCCCAAGGTGGCGCAGGTGGTGACATTCGTCGTGTTGGCCGGGTCGCGCTCTGGCTGGCTGGAGTTAAGGACGACGTGCCGAGAACTGTTTTCTCCTCCCACATTTCCTCACACTCAAAGCCAAGACTGAAGGGCTGTCCCCGCTGGCCCGGGGACACAGAGGAGGCTGAGAACGGAGCGTGCCCCTGGCCCTGCACAGGCACCTGGCCCTGGGACCTGAAGAGGCCTCCCCTCCTCCTCCCTTGTGAGCAGGGGGCTCAGGCCAGCCCTGCACGGCTGTCCTCAACATGCAGGGGATGAGGTGCCCGTGGAAAAAACTGGCTCTGGACACCGCTCTTCCCCACATCGGCTCCACTGAGAGGTCCCTTTAGTGCCACCTTCAAACACACCCATGACTGACTGCTGCCCTCCACGCCACCACCTCCTCACTCAGGGCCTCTCCAGTGCTGGGCTGCTCCTCCTGCCAGCCTTCTTCCCGGCCTCCAGCCTCTACCTGGCCCTCCAGTCTGAGCCTCCTCTGCTTGGACACTCCCTTCCATAGCTCTTGGCTCACTCAGAGGACCGGCCACCCCTGCTGTGAGCCTGCCCCTGCCCCCTCTCTGACCTCCTTCACTATCCCTGCAACAGCCACCTGTCCATCAGGCACGCCTGGCCGGGGGCCTGGGTCCACTTCTTCCCAACAGCCCCAGTCTCCCCACTTCTCCTCTGGGTCTCAGCTTGTCAACGAGGCCTTCGCAGACCCTCCTTTTCAGTCTGACCCCAACCCACATGCCTGATCCCCTGTCCCCTGCCCCCGTGTTGCCTGTGGCCTACGAGTGCTCTATAATGTGCCCTACTGCGGCTCCTGGGGAGTGTGGCCTCACCCCGATGACGCAGGCCTTCCTCAGGGCAGGGACCTCCTCGCTGCTCCCCAACACATCCCTGAGCAGGGCCGGGCAGAGTCGGTGCTCGGTTAGTGTTGGCTCAGTGTGAGGAGGAGGGTAAGGGGCAAGTTGAAGCCCAGAGGCTTCTCCCTGCCACCCAGTGGGAGAGGAGATGGGTCAGGAAGCGAATGAGCCTTTCCACCCCGCGGCACCAGTGCCTTGGGACCTTGGGTTTGTCCAGCGCTGGGTCCTTTGAGACCACAGGGAGGCCAAGGCTATGGGAAGGGACTCACCTGCTTCTTGAGAACAGCCGGGTAAGGGCCCAGGGTGACCACGGCACTACCAGGGAAAAGAGATTGGTCTCTCAGGTCAGGGCGGCTGGCGGGGCTGGCGGGGTGGACACAGTGCCCCCCCTCCCCCATGCTGACAGCAGGTGGGACTGTGCCCACAACCACACCCTCCCCCTCCACTCTTGCTGTCGGCTGTCTTGTTTTGTTTTTTTTTTTCCCAGAACATTCCAAACAAAAAACGTTACCTGTTTGGAGAGAACTGGAGTTTTAATTTCTGGTTTGTGGAGGAAAATGTAGCCGTTGACAGGAGTTTCTAGGAGGAATTGGGAGAATGAGGTTGGGAGGGGAGTGGGATTTGCGTTCCAGGCAGGGAACCGTCCGTGCTCCTGGGCCCTGCCAAGGGAGAGGCCGGGGCTGGCTGCGGGGGTGGTGGGGTGGTGGGGGGGAGCCTTTCTTTGCGGTGACTGTCACCGGTTCCAGCACCTGGCTTTGGAAGCAGAGAGCCCTGGGCTGTGAGGAGGCCCCTCCAGATTCACCTTTCAAAAATGGACTTTTTGCACCTGCCAGACGTGGCCAGCTTCTGGGCCACGGAATTGTACAACAGGCTCCAGGGACCCCAAGGACTCACGGACCCCTGGCCTCTTATCTGAGGCAGCTTCCCTGTGTCCAGGTCTGTTAAATGGGAAGTGGTCACCTCAGGGGAACAGAACTAAGAGACAACCAGGGGCTGTCTGTCCCCCAGGCCCCCAGGCTGCCCATCCCCCAGGCCCCTAGGCTGCCCTCTCCAGCCTGGCTGGCCCTGGGGCATGGAGGACCCGGCCTCCTCCTGGCCTCCTAATGCCTTGACGTCCAGGGAGAGGGTGCAGGGACCTTGGTCACCAGCAGGAGTGCAGAGCCGAGGGATGGGGACACGACCCTTCAGTTCTGAGGACACCCGTGGGCAGCCCTGGGGTGGGCTCGGGAGCAGGTGCTAGTGGGCTTCAGTCCTGGCAGTGGGCACGGTGGCCTGAGTGTGACTGAAGTCAGCTGATGACACGGTGGTGAGCTCTGCCCTGCCCTCCTGTTACCCTGCCCACGGTCAGTGGGCCCAGGACCCCCGAACAACCACCTTCGAGCCTCACTCACCCAGGAAATGGAGCTGGAGGTGCTGTTGGGCCCCAGCAGTACCAGGGAGCCCTGCTGGGTGACCGTAGCTGTATGGCCGATCAGGTGGACAGTGGGAGGATCCGGAGTGTTGATGGTCAGTCCCACGCTCCCTCTGGACCCATCAGAAGCCTGAAGGAAGTTAGAGCAGAAGTGTGAGGCCGCGGCCGGGAGATGGTCCCTAGGCTCAGCTCAGAGAAAGGGAACAAGACCACCCAGGAGGCAGCGCGTCTGGGTTTTCATTCTAGCTCTGTAGTAGCTTGCTGTGAGACCTTGGAGAGGTTGCTTATCCTCTCTGAACTTTTCAGAGGTGGGATTACATCCTCTTTGTCCTGTTCATACTTAAGGTAAGAATATAAGTTTTGGCACCAGAGTTCCAGTCCCAACACTTGCAAGCTGTGTGACCTGAGGCAAGTTTCTTAATCTCTCTGTGCACCTATCCCATAAAGCCGGGAGGGATTGAAGGAGCGTTTTCAGTTCCCTCCCCTAAGTGCCCTCCCTAAGTGCCTCGATGCCACATTCCAAAAGCCTTTGAAGAGGGCACTGAGCTTGGACTTGGGGGCCAGAGGCTGGTTTCAAATCCTGGTTCTGCCATCCGCTTCGCAATGTGAGGTGATAAGTGACTTTCCTGGTTGAGCCTCTGGAGGGGGGACCTGCCCAGCGGGTGGGGCTCCTCAAGGTCATGGTCACCTGTGCTGGCAGCACCCTCAGGGATGCATTTGCTGTCCCTCGTTTCCTCCCCAGGCCTGGGGAGGCAGGTCAGGGATGTCTGGAGTCCCCAGGGGGAGCCCTGGCCAGATGGAGCCCGCCCAGTCCCACCCTGTTCCAGAACCTTCCCTGACACCGGCCAGGGCGCTGGGGGAGCTGGCAGTGCCCCTACCGTGGACCCGGGCTCCAGCTCTCCCGGGTGGGGCTCCTCAAGGTCACGGTCACCTGTGCTGGCAGCACCCTCAGGTGTGCATTTGCTGTCCCTTGTTTCCTCCCCAGGCCTGGGGAGGC